GCGGTGCCCCAGCTGCTGTACCACAGGCATCTGGAGCAAAGCCGCGGAGCACGGGGGCAGCGGGACAGCCCAGACGCGCCGTAGCTGTCCTGCTGCCCTCGGGCTCCGTGGCTTTGCTCCGCTTTGCTCCCTGTCTCCCTGGTCTGCTTTGCTCCCCGTCTCCCTCATCTGGGCTGTCCGCTGCCCGCGTGTTCCGCGGCTTTGCTCCCCGTCCCCCTGGTCTGCTGGAGACCAGGGAGATGGGCCCCGTTCATAACTGCGGATCCGACGTAAGTTGGATCCGCGTAACTCGGTGACTGCCTGTATTGTGTTTAGTTCTGGACACCGCATTTCAAAAAAGATGTGGAGAAATTGGAGAGGGTCCAGAAAAGAGCAACGAGAATGATTAAAAGTCTAGAGAACATGACCTATGAGGGAAGGCTGAAGGAATTGGGTTTGTTTAGTTTAGAAGAGAGACGATTGAGGGGGGACTTGATAGCACTTTTCAGATATTTAAAAGGGTGTCATAAGGAGGAGGGAGAAAACTTGTTCATCTTGGCCTCTGAGGATAGAGCAAGAAGCAATGGGCTTAAACTGCAGCAAGGGAGGTTTAGGTTGGACATTAGGAAAAAGTTCCTAACTGTCAGGGTGGTCAAACACTGGAATAAATTGCCCAGGGAGGTTGTGGAATCTCCATCTGTGGAGATATTTAAGAGTAGGTTAGATAAATGTCTATCACGGATGGTCTAGTCAGTATTTGGTCCTGCCATGAGGGCAGGGGACTGGACTCGATGACCCCTCGAGGTCCCTTCCAGTCCTAGTATTCTATGAGTCTATGATTCTGTGCTTAATGAAGCCCATACAACTGTGTGTCTGCAGGCTTATTGTACTAAAATCAGATAGGCAGGATCAAATTCAGACCTGGGGTAACACTGCTGAAATACCGAAGTGACAGCAGGGAATAAATTGGCCTGTGCTGGTTTGAGAAGAAGTGAGTGGAGCTGTGTGTGCTCCTCCATGCTAATGGGCTAGTAAAAGCACATACCGTTTTCCCCGCATTGTCCAGCCCAAGGATCAAAATGCAGTACTCATCCCTACGGAACATGTACTTATATAGTCCAGACAGCAGCGTATACATCCTGCTCCTGCAACAAATATCAAGATGTCATCAGCGAAGGAGTTTTCCCCGAGGCCTCTTTTTCAACAGTATAATTCTGTTCAACTACCAGATAACAATACAATTTTATATATATATATAGCATTTCTCCCCATGGGGGATCCCAGAGCCAGTTACGAACTCTAGGAGACTGACTTTTAAAAGAAATGAAGGCCAGATTTTCAAGTGTTCAGACTCAACACTTGGGTGTGGATTTTCAAAGAACTCAGCTCTTGTTTAGGCACTTAAATAGGGCCAGATTTTGGAACATGCTCAGCCCCTGGCAGCTTCTATCACTATACTCATGGCCAGATTTTCAGCACAGCTCAACCACTAGCATACACCCTTTATGCTGAGCATTTCTGAAAATCTAATCACTTATTTTGGTAACTACATGGGAGCTTGTGAGTATTTGTCTAGATAGCTCCCTGAAATGTAGGTGCAAAGGAAGATAACAGCCAGATGCACAGTAGCTGCACATGTCCAGAAAGGAGTTATCGGGACTAATGCAGAAGGCAACCCAGTGGCTGTGTCTAGACTGGCAAGTTTTTCTGCAAAAGCAGTTGCTTTTGCGGAAAAACTGGCCCGCTGTCTACACTGGCCTCTTGAATTTCCACAAGAACACTGACTTCCTACTGTCTGAAATCAGTGCTTCTTGCGGAAATACTATCCTGCTCCCATTCGGGCAAAAGGGCCAGTGTAGACAGCGGGCCAGTTTTTCCGCAAAAGCACTTTTTGCGGAAACGCGTCCGTGCCCATCTAGATGCTCTTTTCCGCAAATGCTTTTAACGGAAAACTTTTCCGTTAAAAGCATTTGCGGAAAATCATGCCAGTCTAGATGTAGCCAGTGTCTGTTGAGATGTACCAACGCAGCCTTAAAGCTCTCACTGAACAGAAAGGACCTACGTTTTAAAAGCATATGCAGTTTTTTGTGAGAATTTGAACATTCCTCAGTAGAACCTCCTCTTGCAGTGTCTCCAGTATATGCACTGCTGTCTCACCAGGCATGAGGACCAGTGAAAGTGACTAGTCAGTAACCTGAGTGAGGGTAGTCGATTCAGACCAGACAGCTGGGCTGCTGTACAAACAAGCTCCCTTTCATAGGGTTTGCATAGCACAGATGCACACATGTACTTTGCCCAACTGAGGCAAAGTTCACTTGAAGCTTATGAATGGGATTATATTAGGTGCTAGCCTGTGACCTTCCCTTCCACACCTGAGGGGCACTGATCCCTCCAGGGAGGTAGAGGATTATGGGTGACACCTGCAGCAGTCTGTGGGAGACCCAGCCCTGGAGGCTGGAGCCTCCCAGCATGTTTTTGGGTGCAACCTACTTTGCCCAACTGAGGCAAAGTTCACTTGAAGCTTATGAATGGGATTATATTAGGTGCTAGCCTGTGACCTTCCCTTCCACACCTGAGGGGCACTGATCCCTCCAGGGAGGTAGAGGATTATGGGTGACACCTGCAGCAGTCTGTGGGAGACCCAGCCCTGGAGGCTGGAGCCTCCCAGCATGTTTTTGGGTGCAACCTGGATCGCAGCAGAACCTGCAACTGGGACCAGGAGCCCCTGCGAGTCGCTTGGCTAGAACAGAGGTCGACTCCCCACCAAAGGCAGCGACACCTCATCTCCGGAGCCCAAAGCCTGGGGCAGGACCCAGGGATCAACCCCCCCAGCCCTGGGAGCCCCAGCTCCGGCTGCACAGGTGGGGCCCGCCCCATAGACCCACCTCGGACCCCCAGCTCCGGCCGCACCGCTGGGGCCCGCCCCATAGACCCACCTCGGACCCCCAGCTCCGGCCGCACCGCTGGGGCCCGCCCCATAGACCCACCTCGGACCCCCAGCTCCGGCCGCACCGCTGGGGCCCGCCCCATAGACCCACCTCGGACCCCCAGCTCCGGCCGCACCGCTGGGGCCCGCCCCATAGACCCACCTCGGACCCCCAGCTCCGGCCGCACCGCTGGGGCCCGCCCCATAGACCCACCTCGGACCCCCAGCTCCGGCCGCACCGCTGGGGCCCGCCCCATAGACCCACCTCGGACCCCCAGCTCCGGCCGCACCGCTGGGGCCCGCCCCATAGACCCACCTCGGACCCCCAGCTCCGGCCGCACCGCTGGGGCCCGCCCCATAGACCCACCTCGGACCCCCAGCTCCGGCCGCACCGCTGGGGCCCGCCCCATAGACCCACCTCGGACCCCCAGCTCCGGCCGCACCGCTGGGGCCCGCCCCATAGACCCACCTCGGACCCCCAGCTCCGGCCGCACCGCTGGGGCCCGCCCCATAGACCCACCTCGGACCCCCAGCTCCGGCCGCACCGCTGGGGCCCGCCCCATAGACCCACCTCGGACCCCCAGCTCCGGCCGCACCGCTGGGGCCCGCCCCATAGACCCACCTCGGACCCCCAGCTCCGGCCGCACCGCTGGGGCCCGCCCCATAGACCCACCTCGGACCCCCAGCTCCGGCCGCACCGCTGGGGCCCGCCCCATAGACCCACCTCGGACCCCCAGCTCCGGCCGCACCGCTGGGGCCCGCCCCATAGACCCACCTCGGACCCCCAGCTCCGGCCGCACCGCTGGGGCCCGCCCCATAGACCCACCTCGGACCCCCAGCTCCGGCCGCACCGCTGGGGCCCGCCCCATAGACCCACCTCGGACCCCCAGCTCCGGCCGCACCGCTGGGGCCCGCCCCATAGACCCACCTCGGACCCCCAGCTCCGGCCGCACCGCTGGGGCCCGCCCCATAGACCCACCTCGGACCCCCAGCTCCGGCCGCACCGCTGGGGCCCGCCCCATAGACCCACCTCGGACCCCCAGCTCCGGCCGCACCGCTGGGGCCCGCCCCATAGACCCACCTCGGACCCCCAGCTCCGGCCGCACCGCTGGGGCCCGCCCCATAGACCCACCTCGGACCCCCAGCTCCGGCCGCACCGCTGGGGCCCGCCCCATAGACCCACCTCGGACCCCCAGCTCCGGCCGCACCGCTGGGGCCCGCCCCATAGACCCACCTCGGACCCCCAGCTCCGGCCGCACCGCTGGGGCCCGCCCCATAGACCCACCTCGGACCCCCAGCTCCGGCCGCACCGCTGGGGCCCGCCCCATAGACCCACCTCGGACCCCCAGCTCCGGCCGCACCGCTGGGGCCCGCCCCATAGACCCACCTCGGACCCCCAGCTCCGGCCGCACCGCTGGGGCCCGCCCCATAGACCCACCTCGGACCCCCAGCTCCGGCCGCACCGCTGGGGCCCGCCCCATAGACCCACCTCGGACCCCCAGCTCCGGCCGCACCGCTGGGGCCCGCCCCATAGACCCACCTCGGACCCCCAGCTCCGGCCGCACCGCTGGGGCCCGCCCCATAGACCCACCTCGGACCCCCAGCTCCGGCCGCACCGCTGGGGCCCGCCCCATAGACCCACCTCGGACCCGGCAGCCCAGGGGTCTTTGCCTCCACTTTCACAGCAGGTTTAATGCCGCCTGCGTGGGAGGCAACGTGAGCAGAAAGATGTAAGAACAACCAGACTGGTCCATCCAGCCCAGTGTCCTGCCCACAGTGGCCAATTCCAGGTGCCCCAGAGGGAGGGATCACAACAGGGAATCCTCATGTGATCCCTCCCCTGTCACCTATTTCCAGACAAACAGAGGCTGGGGACACCATTCCTACCCATCCTGGCTAATAGCCATTGGTGGACCTAACTGCCATGAATTTATCTAACTCTTTTTTCAACCCTGTTAAAGTCCTAGCTTTCACCACATCCTCTAGCAAGGAGTTCCACAGCTTGACTGTGCAATGAGTGAAGAAAAACTTCCTTTTATTTGTTTTAAACCTGCTGCCTATTAATTTCACTTGGTGACCCTTAGTTCTTATATTTGGGGAGCAAGTAAATAACTTTTCCTTGTTCACATTTTCCACACCTGTCATGATTTTATAGACCTCTATCATATCCCCCTTTAGTTTCCTATTTTCTAAACTGAAAAGTCCCAGTCTTTTTAATCTCTCTTCAGATGGGACCCGTTCCAAACCCCTCATCATTTTTCTTGCCCTTTTCTTTACCTTTTCCAATGCCAATATATCTTTTTTCAGATGAGGCGACCACATCTGTATATAGTATTCAAGATGTGGGCGTACCATGATTTTATATAGAGGCAATAAGATATTTTCTGTCTTATTTTCTAACCCTTTTTTAATGATTCCTAACATTCTATTTGCTTTTTTGTCTGCTGCTGTACACTGAGTGGATGTTTTCAGAAAACTATCCACAATTACTCCCAAGATCTCTCTCCTGAGTAGTTGTAGCTAAATTAGTTCCCATCATATCGTATGTGTAGTTGGGATTATTTTTTCCAATGTGCATTACTTTACATTTATCAACATTATATTTAATTTGCCATTTTGTTGCCCAATCACTCAGTTTGGTGAGATCTTTTTGAAGCTCTTCACAGTCTGCTTTGGTCTTAACTATCCTGAGCAGTTTGGTATCATCTGCAAATTTTGCCACCTCACTGTTTACCCCTTTCTCTAAATCATTTATAAATACAGGCAGTCCCCAGGTTACATGGATCCGACTTACATCGGATCCCTACTTACAGACGGGGTGAGGCAACCCCGCACTAGCTGCTTCCTCCCAGCAGACCAGGGAGACGCGAAGCTAGCGCGCCACCCGCCCCCAGCAGACCAGGGAGACGCGGAGTGGCTTTTCTCAGCAGACACTTCAGCTTGAGAATAAAGGGCTGAGGGAAGTGAGGTGTGGGAGAATAAAACTGAGCTCTGGAGAAATGTTTGGCTAGAGTTTCCCCTACAATATGTACCAGTTCCGACTTACATACAAATTCAACTTAAGAACAAACCTACAGTCCCTATCTTGTACGTAACCCGGGGACTGCCTGTAAGTTGAATAGGATTGGTCCCAGGACAGACCCTTGGGGACCCCACTTGTTACTAGTTATAATTAAAGAGGAGGTAGGGAGTGGTAATGTTGTGTCATGGGACTGCAAGTTTAAAGGGACAGAAAAGTAAGGCTGATGTTATTCGCATGCCCTAGTTAATCATGGTTGAATTCTGAGGTAAGTTAAAAGCTTAACAGTTTTTCAAGTTCGATATCAACAGGGCAGGTTGCATGTACATGACACGAGCCATGTGTGTATAATGATATACGGTGGTAGCTGTTTGCATTACAGATATCTATTCAATTAGGATGGCTATCCTTGTGACTGCTTTCTCTAATGAAGCTTTATAATATTTGTTCCCTGCAGTGTTTTTCATCTGGTTGCAGCAAAGGGAAGAACACAAGACTACTGCAGAGATTGACAGCTAGTTTGGACAGAGACTCCATATTTCACATTTCTGTCCAGTAAATACTTGAGTATTTACCAAGTTCCCAGACAGGAATCAGCGAAACAGCTCTTTGCAATAACAATGGATGAAGAGAGTCTGGAAGCAGCAATTCAAACCTATAAAGCCCAGTTACAACAAGTAGAGCTGGCTTTAGGGGCAGGGCTGGATCCATCACAGCAATCTGACTTGATCCAATTGCAGGAAGATTTGAAGCAATTGATAGAACTGACTGAATCCAGCCTGGTGTCGGTGAAAAAGAGCAAACTGCTGGCCAATTTAGACACCGATGGACCCTCCATTTCTCCAGCAGGTTCCGTAAAACAGGACAGTAATTCTGGCAGGTCCTGCAATGATGATGAGTATGATGCTTTTAAGGAAGCTATTGCTGAACTTGGTGGTGAGGACAAGCAGTTGTGTACTAAAGACATGGCCTCTCCAGAACAAGATGGAGAGGATGATGGGGGAAATGAATTGAAGTACAGTGACGAGGAGGAAGCGTCTGAGGAAGAGGAAGAGGAAGTGAGTGGGATGAAGGTTAAAGCCCCATACTACAGTCCTTGGGGTACCCTGGAGTACCATAATGCCATGATTGTGGGGACAGAGTGTTTGGAAGATGGCAGTGCAGGAGTCAGAGTGCTGTATCTCTACCCAACCCACAAGTCCTTGAAGCCATGTCCATTCTTCTTGGATGGCAAATGCAGATTTAAAGAGAATTGTCGGTAAAAATAAAAGCTTATCTCCGTTGTGTAGTAAGAGTGCAATTAGTAGCAATGTCAGCCAGCGGGAGTAACTTTGGACTTGTAAATATCTCACCTTCCTTGGTTCTTAAATTGGCTGTAACTTTGTCCAACAACTTTTTATTGGTTTAAAGTGTTGTCATTTTGCTGTGCTAGATCAGTGAATGTACACGAGTGGCCATACTGAATCAGACCAAGGTCCGTCTAGCCCCGTAATCTTGTCTTCCAATAGTGGCCAATGCCAGGTGCCCCAGAGGGAATGAACAGAACAGATGATCAAGGGATCCATTCTCCGTTACTCATTCCTAGCTTCTGGCAAACAGAGGCTAGGGACACCATTCCTGCCCACCCTGGCTAATAACCATTGGTGGTCCCATCCTCCATGAATTTATTTACTTCTTTGTTGAACCCTGCTATAGTTTTGGCCTTCACGACATCCTCTGGCAGGAGTTCCACAAGTTGAGTTTGCGTTGTGGGAAGAAATATTTCCTTTTTTCCCCCCCAAACTGCTGCCTATTAATTTCACTTGGTACATTCCTTCAGCTAACCCAGGGAGACAATGGAAAATCCTTAGAGAAAAAAGTGCAGGAATTAGTTCTCATATATTGTGTAGGTAAATGAATATTAGCTAAATAAGACAAAATGAAATCTACTGTAGGGAAGCTAACACGTCTTAATAAAAACTGTGCATTAGGGATGAGAAAGTGTAGAAGTGTATGGTTACATGCAGGCCCCCCCACCACGGGGGGAGAAGGGGGAGGGACAGGCAGGAGTTGGTGCTTAAGCCAGCTCTCTGTGAGAACCAGCTCCTTCCTGTCCCCCTCCCACTGCTGCCCCTGCCGTCTCCTCCTCCCTAGCTTGTAAACATATAACCGCTGAATTTTTCAGCATTTACCTAAATAAATGCACTTTAGCATCCTTACTGTGCATATAACTAGTTCATTGCATCCTGAAAGATGTATGCCTTTTAATTTTTTAATGGATTTGTCACTGGCCTGTGAAATGTGGCCTCTTCTGAGGTAAGATGTGGCATTTGCTTAATAAAACACACAACGTTAAAAAGAGGTGTTTTTTTTAAAGACAAAGTGAAGAATAAGTTATGCAACTGAAACAATTCTGGTGGTAAGGCATATTTATGATTATTGGAGAGGACAATGCAGACAATTGGCCCATATTTCCATAAAGGAAGGAAATTTCCTTTCTAGAATCCCCGTCAGACAAAGGCCGATCTGATTACTTCTCCCTGTTTCCCCTGCAGGTTTTCCCATGGGCAGGTGGTATCTGTGGATGAGCTTCATCCATTTCAGGAGCCCAATCTCAGCTCCCTTGAAGTGGGCTCAGCCTGCTTGGCGAAGCACAGTGATGGAATATGGTACGGTGCTAAAATCACTGGTGAGTCTCATTTTCTCTGGGTGGGTATTGAAAGATGAACAGAAGCACTTCAATATTCATTTTTAATGAAGCGTTAAGCCAAACAGCAAAGGCTGGGTTTCTAGCTAAAGCCTGGCCCAGGGGTTTGAGACAACTGAGTTCTCTGCCACAGCCTTTGGGAGTGGCTCATGCCTAATTCCTTAGTAGCTGTAAAGTGCTTTGAGATCCTGAAGGGCAGATGATCTTTACAAAAGGGGAACCAGAGAAGGATTTAGTAATGGAGGGGGGGCAGAAAATTGGTGACAGGATTCTATAAGGAAAGTTGTGGAGACTTGTAAGAAAATAGTAGTAGTGGAATAGAGAACATAGGCATGAAAGAATTAATACAAATAACTAGACCATTAAATTTTCCTACCCTCTGTTCTGCTTTGCCCAAATGTCATCCTTGATATCTTGTCAAATACTAGATTTAGATACTTGGAATAGCTGAATCTTGTTTAATCCAATTCCAGTTTAAACAAAGTCAGAGATTTTCACCTGTACACCAATCACTGAGAGATGTGTTAGACTGGTGCTTTGTGTGTGGAGAGACTGGATTTGTTCTTTGTGTTTGATCTCAAATCAGTTGTGTGGGAGCAATTCTTATATTTCCCCAAACCTGTTCTCTTGCCCCTTTAAGAGCAAATTCTGAGTAATGTGTTCTGATGCTGTAAAACCTGCTGGTCCCATTAGAAACTGAAGATAAGTGATGATCCTACTGCTGTTTACTATGATTAATCTTCCCTGTAATCTTTTCTATCCACGTGTGGATCTTTTCCACCCATGTGCGGAATAATTTTGTATGTGCACTGAGGTATTTGTGAATGTACATCACTGTTAGAAACAAAACCTAGTTATGTGCGCTCTGCTAATCAACTGGACGGCATTTGAATCTCTCCTGAGTGTCCACAGAAGTGCACAATTTACTGTTCCCCTAGCTCTGTTTGTACCATGTGGCCGTAGCTGATGGTAGCTGTGAGTGATGATTCATTCTCCCTTCGAACAGAAAACCCAAAATAGATGAAGCAGAAAAAGCCAAGAGGAGACTATTAAATCCATGTTCCTTGAACCAAACTCATCCCAGGTGTCATTCCATTGAAGTTAGTGCAGTTAGCTAAAACGGTATGAACATGGTCCTCTAGGTACATTTTGTGGAGATTTGCTCATTCAGTCCATTGCTTTTCCTCCTGCAGATATTGACAGTGGTTACTACACAGTGAAGTTTAACTCACTGCTGCTGAAGGAGGCTGTTGTGGAGGGAGATGGCATCATGCCACCACTGCGAAGCGAGGAGGACTCTTCCTCTCCTGAGTCTGAGGAAGACAACATAGATGACTCTGGCTATGCTAAAGGTAGACTGGGCAGAAAGTGATCAAAACCTGCTCTTTAATTCAGGATTCTTGAATCATTGCAGAACTTAGCAGAAATTTGATGATTTCTTTTTACCTCGTGTTCTGCTGCAGAAGGAGATGAGACAACACTAAGCATCATGTGTACTGTGGTCTCCAGTTAAAATCTCTGTGATGTTCCATGCTAATGATTTTCACTAAGTGGATACAAGCAGATAGATACCTTAAATGAAAAGAAAACAATTCACCCTAATGGAATTGGAGAAAATATCAGCATGAAAAGGGCCTAGGAGCAGGAACCCCTGTAGTCTCATTGCAGATTTGCTATATGACTCTGGGTGAGCCACGTAATTATGTACTGAAACAAAAGTTTTGAAAATGAAGGGGGAATGTTCTGGAGAAAGCTTCTAGGGTGGCAGGACGTGTCTGTCTTGCATAGTTACATGGCACCCATCACTGTAATACCCGAGTGCCTCAAAATCTGTAATGCAGTTTTCCTGGGAGGCAGGGCGGTGCTGTTGTTGCCACTGTACAAGTGCCTTCATTACCTAAGGCTACATCTGCACTGGCTGCTTCTTGCGCAAGAACTCTTTTGCAGAAGAGTTCTTGTGCTAAAAATCTTCCACAAGAGCACATCCACAGTGCCGTGTGCTTTTGCACAAGAGCATCCATGGCAGTGTGGATGCTCTCTTGTGCAAGAAAGCTCTGATGGCCATTTTAACCATAGGGGCTTCTTGCACAAGAAATTCATGTTGCCTGTCTACACTACCCTCTTGTGGAAGAGCTCTTGTGCAAAAGGGCTTATTCCTCGTGGGGAGAGGAATAACTCTTCCGGAAGAAGCCCTGTTTTCCAACGCTCTACTGTAAATTTACTTGCGCAAGAACGCTCGTGCAGTGTAGACAGCAGGCAAGTTTTTGCGCAAGACCGGCTGTTCTTGTGCAAGAAGCTGCCAGTGTAGACACCGCCTCCATGACTTCCTCAAGGGCACACCAAGAGCAGGGCTTTGGATCTCCCCTCTCCTAGGTTAGTGCCCTAACCACATCTTAGAAACAAGCAGGGAGTGTGCAGGGATCTCTAAGTCATAGGTAAATGGAAAATGTACCTAGTATTGCTTGGGTCTTTGAATGAATGAATTTTTGAAAACTGAGATGAAAATGTCCAGGCTTCATTTAAATCATTGCTCTGGAGTGGGGCTGGGGAGATGGAGTTCAGTATCAGGCTGCCCTGGGGAGAGAGGACAACCATATGGTACGGTGCTAAAATCACTCACCATGGCCACTGAAGCTCCAGTGGGCCCAGCCGGGGAAGGGGTTCATGTCCCCTAGCTGAGGCAGGTCCAGGTTCGTCTGCCCCCATGCTCCCTAGCCAGAGTGAGGAATGCAGCAAACTACACTTCCCCCTCACTCCCTGATGAAGGGGAACAGCCGGCAGTGTCCAATTCTCCCTCCCCCAAAAGGTGCCTGGCAGGGTAGGAGGCTTGGGGCTGGTGCAGTCCCAGGCGGAGGGTGGAGTGGGGTGGAACAGGCAGCCAGCCCTTTTCACCGGCTTGTGATTGTCTCTTTTCTGTGTGGTGTTATGAGAAGCAGTCCTATTCCAGGCACATCCCATCTTCCTGGCACAACCAAACCCTGACCTTGCTTTAACTGTGATACGAGGAAGTTGTATACCAAGTTTGGTGGTCCTAGCTCTTTCCGTTTAGGAGGAGTTCTTGAACAAGCAGATGGACAGACTCTCTTGAACATATAGAAGACTCCTCCATTCCACTGAACCTGTTAGAAGTGTGATGGAGGCACCGAACATTCAGCATGCTGACTTCTGTTCTGGTGAAGCCATGAAATCTAACCGGACTCCAGGAGCATGGGAAGAATCCACTAAAACTGCTGGATAATTCTGCCCGAATTAATGGGTAGTAAATGGGATTCTCCCCACCGACCGCAGCATTTAAAACCCTGCTCACTCTTCATGCTCCTCTCCTGAGCGACTGGCTTAAAGGGTGGCTGCTTAGAGGGAACAGTTAGGGGGCAGAACTGACTGGACTCCAGAGGACCGAAAAAGAGGCTTCAAAGTCGAGTGTGTGTGTGGAGAGAGAGGCTGCTGGGTTTGGCAGCTGTGCTCCCAGCTGTCTGCCCGTTTTCACTTGGTGCTTTGTTTCCCCAATCTCTGTTTGTGCTGCAGTGATCGATTCCGCGCCCTCGGAGAACGGGGAAGGGGCGCCAGCTTGCAGTTCCGCGTTTGGTGGCTGGGAGGCCCATACTCGTGGCATCGGCTCCAAGCTACTCGCTCAAATGGGATATGAGTTTGGAAAAGGTAAGGGCACAAGAGCCTGCCTGTATTGCCTGCCTCTGGCTCTCAGCTTCTCAAGGGACTTGTTGCTGGGGAAATTGGGGGGACAGTCAATCCTCTGTCCAATCCTCTGTCAGTGGGTCTGACCAGCATTGCTTGGATCCGGCCCAGAATGCGGTATGTGTTCAATACTAAATACAGGATTACGTGTGTGGTGGTGCTGACGTCTTACTGTCGATGTCTGGGGGAAAGTCGGGGCTGTGCGTGTAGCAGCGCTCATGTTTCATAATACATCAAGGGGGCAGTCAACGCACTGGCCAGATGATAAACACTGTCAGAGCAGAGCCTCAATTAGTCAGCTTTCCTGTAGAGCATGAGGTAATGGGTCTGGCTCAGGGCTCCTCCCCTCCCCCGCAAGACTTCAAATCCTGTGGAGCCAGCTGCTGACTCCAGACCCCTTGCACTGAAGTTCTGCTGATCCCAGTGGCCTTGAGAAGCCAGCCAGCTGCTCACATTTGCCTCCATTGCTGGTGGAGTTCCCACACCTGCTTTGGAAGGGGAACATCCGCTCTGCTCAAGGAGGTGACGGTGCAAATCCAAGTTTGGCTCTGCTGCAGCACCCAGGGCTGGCCTTACCATGAGGTGAACTGAGGCGCCGCCTCAGGTGCCAGGCTGTGGGGGGGGCACCACTAGGACTCAGAGTGTAGAAGATTGTGTCTGCTGCTGGCCCAAGCGAGGGGGCATGGGGGCATCATTTGAGCTCCCCGCCTCAGGTGCCAAAATGTTGTGGGCCGGCCCTGGCAGCACCTCCTGTGCATGTCTCTGTCCTGTACGGTGGAGATTCTTGTGTGTGTAACCGTGTGAATCAGGTGCGTTTGGGGTACGGTGCCTCTTCTGTCACTCAGCGGTCAACCTTGTCATCGAGTGTACAGTCCAACACTGCTCCGGTGGCCTTCAAGAGCAGCAGCACGAAGCCCCCGCCGATGGTTTTGTGGGGTTCTGAGCCTGGGGGCTGTGCATGGGGCATCTGTGCAGAGGTAGAGAGGAGAATCCTTGGGGTATGGAGCGACTCCGTTGTAACATTTGGCTTCCACCTGCTTCCCTTCTTCCTCCCTTAGGTTTGGGGAAGAACGCCGAGGGCCGCGTGGAGCCAGTGCAAGCCATAGTGCTGCCTAAAGGGAAGTCCCTTGACCAATGTGCTGAGATCCTTCAGAAGAAGAAGCTGGATCCTACTAAATCAAGGAAACGCCGAGTGAAGGCAAACCACGTTGGCCGTCGCTCTGCAGGGACCCGCAAGCCCCCCCGCAGCGTCTTTGACTTTCTCAATGAGAAACTTCAGGGGAATGGCTCTGGGGAGCAGGCTGGAGGGGCGGCACCAGTGGAGAGAAACAACAAGGAGATCTACCACGCCAGTAAGAGCACCAAGAAGGCCCTCAGCGTCCGCCTCTTCCAGACCATGGAGAAGATCGACCAAATGCAGAAGACCATCAGGGGAATCCAGGAAGCCCTGGCACGCAATGTTGGACGGTATGGGGAAATCCATGTTGGGGGTTCCAGAATGATTTGAGGCTGCCAGTTGGCTTAGGCTCGGGCTGGAGGCGAAGAGTCAGGTTATGTAACGTAAAAAGCCACAGTAAGAGGTTTCAGGATGGGACTTTGGGGATGGCCTAGATCAGGGGCAGGGAACCTTTTTTGGGTTGGGAGCTGCTAACCCACAGAGATCAGTCAGGGGCCACACAAGTGAGAAGCACAACAACAACAAAAAGCGCACCCGCTCACACACACGAATGCCACAAAACCCCTTGACGTGCTCAAAATGCTGTTCTAGAAAGGTTTGAAAACAACAACTCGCAGACATCCCATCCAGAGCAAAGCCTTTGGGGCTTGCCCTGTGGCCACCCCTTCCTCCCTAAAGGCACCCCATGCAGGGAAGAGGCTGGGGGGATTCTCTTCCAGCCCACTCCTACAAGGGATTACCCCTCCCCCCTGCCTTCCCTCCAGTTCCACATGCCTCCTCAATGCTCCAGCCCATTCAGGGAAGGGCCAGGGCCCCGCTGTGGCCTCCCTTTCCTCCCAAAGGGTGCCCCATGCAGAGAAGGGGCTCAGGGGCTTCCCTTCCCTTCCACTCTGGGAACGGCTCCCCTCCCTCCCCGGGTCCCACACACCTGGGAAGCAGCTGCAGCCTCTTTTTCACTGCCCCGTCGCTGACACACGGCATGTGGCGCTTCTTCTGCGCACCTCTCCCATATACAGGAGAGAAACTGGAAGTATCCGGTCGCCCTGCAGGGGAGCATGGGGAAAGTTTTTTAAGTGGCCCCAGGGGCCTCCCGCAGCATTTCACGGCAGTGGGGACCCCCCCAAGGGCGGGACACAGGTTCCCTACCCCAGTCTAGATAATACGTAGTCCTGCCAGGAATGCAGGGACCTCCTGAGGTTCCTTCCAGAGCTAGGATTCTGTGGGAGAGGAGCGGAGCTTATTCTAAGGTGTTTGTCACTGTTGCTACTCTAACCACTGGCGCAGTAGGAAGGCTAGAATAAAGCGGTAGGCAAAAGCTTCCAAACCACAACTTGGACCAGATTGTGCTCTCTGATTTGCTGCCTTGAGAAGGCAAGGATCCCCGGGCCAGAGCTCTGAAGGAGGAGAACCGTTGGTATAAAGGAGCCAGAGTCCTGCAGGATTTTCTCTTCGGTTTCTTAAGCTGCCCAGGGCCATCCTCCCAGCAGGAACAATCACCGTTCTCTGACTTGCTTGATACTGGCTGCTTCATGGCTCCCAGGGGGTCATTTGCATCCACCCCACTGCTGAGACTGGGGTTCCTCGCAGTAAACTGGAGCCTTTGTTCTTAACATGCTAGATAGCCTTACTTCCCTGTCTTCTGCTTTCAGGCACAGCATTGCCACGGCCCAGCTGGAAGAGAAACTGGCTGGTGCCCACAGGCAGCTGGGGCAGCTGCGGGCCCAGGAAGCTAGCCTGCAGCAGGAGCAGAAGAAAGCAGACACACACAAGAAAATGACTGAGTTCTAGTCTCCGAGGAAAGCTGCGATGTGATGTACTAGTTCTCATTATGACTGAGCTGGGACTCAGTGTGTTGGAGCCTGGATGAACTGTTGCCATCTCCTCTGGGTCTTGGCCAACCCAGCTCTGAAACTAGGGTGAAAGCAGCAGTTGTCTGAAAACCAGAAGCTCTCTGAGCTGAGATTTTCCGGATGGTGGGGGGAGGAAAGAGCAAAGTACATCCTAAGTCCTGAAGGTGTTCAAAAGGCCCAAGCTGCTTATGCTGGCCTGCTGTAAAGCCCCTGCACTTTGCTTTTGTTCCCTTTCCCCGGTTTTCACTGTGGTAGTTCTCTCCATCCAGAGAGTCTATAGCCATCCACGTGATACCTTGGTTGTCCACGGATCAGCTGGTGGGAGGAGCCATGGAAGCCCCACATCCTGCCATTCTGCCTCAGTGGGTTGCGTCTGTGTGTGTGTATCCACTGCAAAAGTATTGCTGGGTGGGGAACAGCTGTCCTGACTTAGTACAAACGGTTTGCATCTCCCTGTGAAGTCAGCCTACCTGCTGACAGTGGCAACCTGCAATGCTGCACCATTCCGTCTCACGGCACTGAGCGCCAGAGTTAGGGGAATGTGGCAGCCACCGAAACAGCGGGGCTCATCACAGGTCAGCTACATACCTGCAGGCCAGGAGCAGTTCTACAGGCAGCCTTTTGCTTTCACTCTGACTGCTTTGAGTCCTAGTCTAGATAGCTACATGAACAAGTAAGTTCTTTTCATGAAACACCACAGAAGTACCTAAAACAACACAAGGTCCAGGCGTGCCCACCACACACATGAAAGAGCTAATACAATCCTGGAGCTAGGAGCAGACTTTCCTACCCTACAATGGGTACAGACAGGCAGCAGAAAATCTCCTAGACAGTTTCTGCCTAGGTGGTGTCCAGCTCTTGCTGTAGAAGAGGTGTTGATCCTGTTGGGCATTCTGTATCAGGCAGTGGCCTGTCATTGTGGTATTTTCCTGTGCACCTTTGTTTTCTGATTCTGTAATTTTTGCAGGTGTCTTGAGAACTTTTTTGTAAGTAAAAGATGTCTGACCCCTTTTATCTTAGACTACTTTTGCCTTTTGAGCGCCACTTCTCAAACGCCTTTGAAGGATTACAGAGCTGTCAACCACAAGGGTGACAATCACCAGAGGGCTTCCTGGGCTACAGGGTCAGGACAATTGAATCCATTGATGATTAAAAAAACCACAGCTTTCACAGCCTCAGACCAAGTTGTGGAAGTCACCCGTGCCTTAAAGCAGCAAAGGAGACAGAAAAGGAAGTGAGGGCAAAAACGAGAGAGAAAATAAATTTTAAATACTCGGCTGTTTCAGGGATGCAGGAAGAAAAAGATCTTTCATGAGTGCCCTTTCCTGGGAAGCCTTCAATCCTGCAATAGGCCCTGAACAGGAACTAAAGTTTCCTCACTTCTGTTTACAGTGGAAATCAAGGTGCTGTGGCTTTCTGTCTTGAACACATCAGTATCCTTCCAAGCCCGTAACTAATCAGCAGCAATACCAGAAGAATCCTTGTTCAGTGACTAAGTATGGGCCTTCTCTCTGCTTTGGGTTAATTCAAAGCTCTTGAGGTGGGAGATGGGAGACAGGCAGTGAAGAGGTTAATGTATTTAGCTCCCAAGTTAGTTAATGGTCTCCTAGGAGTGCTCCTTGTGACAATTTGTGATAAGGTTTACAGCTCCACTTGGCAATCTCTCTGCCTGAGATTGAACCTCTGTTAACTGGGACTCCGTGGTCTGGTAACATTTGTAGTCCAGCAGGACCACAGATGTTTCAGGACCAGTGAGACCTGGTGGAAGGCTGGTAGCTGAGCTCCCTGCAGCTGGGCTGGTAGGTACAACCCAGTGGGGGTGCCTGACATGTCTAGGAGTCTGGCATGCCGCAGTGGGGTTGCCTGTTGTGCAGGGAGCTGGGCTGCCCAGCTTTGCAGGGAAGTGGGATAGGCAGGACTCGCCAAGCGGGGGTGAGCCACCACACCAGCCATGCGGTTCTGTGTTCTATGTATGCGCAGACTGCGCTGCTTCGGCTGTGCCGGCTTGTAATCTACTCGCCACAGGCGAGCCCTGTGGGACGGGACTGGTGGAGCAGTGGAACTTGGGGGAGC